AAAAAAAAAAAAAAAAAAAAAAGATTGCTGACTCGGAGCTTCTGCGTTGCAGCTCGATCTCTCCCATATTCACCCGGAAATAACGCCCGGTCATTATGCCTGCAGTGTTTGTAGACTGAAGCGCGGACCAAAGGGACGGATTGCGCCTGATGTTGGCCGTGTGTTGTGTAATGACCCGCCATCGTAACACAGACAGAGAACACTGCTGATTTCTGGGATTTGCTGCTGGAATGGATGCCTTGCTGAGATTCCCGCATTCTGCTGAGTTTTCTAAGTCTGTGTGTGTGTGTGTGTGTGTGTGTGTGTGTGTGTGTGTGTGTGTGTGTGCGTGCTTGGTGACCTGCGTGCCTGTCTGAGTGCTTGTCGACCTGAGTGTGTGTGTGTGTGACCCGCAAGGGTACTTGCTTGTTTGGGAGACCCGTAGGGCCGGCACTTACCTGTGGCCGTGACATTGAGGGTTGCAGCGGGGGAAACCACTCAAGTGGCGGGGCAAGAGGCCCACGACACTTCGAGCAGCGGAAAAACACTCAAGCAGCAGGTAAACCGGTACCACACCCAGTAGAAGTCGATGTGCCGGGTACTCTAGCCCGAGCAGAAGAAGACAAAAGTTGGCATTTTTACAGGCCCAGTAGTTGTAGGCTAGGTCTAGGCGCGTACCAGCCCAACCAGTCTGAGTCTAGGGCCTGTACGGGCAATATCAGAGCCTGCAATGATGTTTTCCTCCGAAAGGGAGGAGGTACCAGTTGCTTGGAAGCCGCGCGGACTGGAAGTCACTGCCCAAGAGGCAAGTAGGCCGCTATACCTGCAGGAGGAGCGAGTAGCTCCTCCTCATTTGCGGTATGCAAGTTTGGACATCGTGCTGCTTGAGCAAGCACCAGCCTTCAGAGCGCTAGAGCAGTGAGGAGCGGTGGGCGCTAGGAGGAAGGAGGAGGCCGGGAGCTTGCACCACGGCTATGGTGGAGCTCTACCGGTAGGAGGAGGAAGGGGGGGGAGACTAGGAGGGAGAGAGGTGAGGTGCCTACCTGGCTAAGGCGGCCACCATCTTCATCACCTTGTTAGGCGCTGCATCAGGAAGGCCCCAGTGCCGTTGCGCCGCACCAAGAAGCTCCGAGGCAGAGTCAGGCGTGGCGGCCTGAGTAGCAGCGGCATAGCTGCTTTGTGTTGTCCTTTGCACAGCAGGGCAAGGCCCTGGTAGTCCGCCATAGCCTTGGCCTTCGAGAAGGAAGGGGAAGAGTGGCCATGGCTATGGTGGACCTCATGTGGTGCCTGCAGTAGAAAAGGGATTCGGACATTAATTCTGCTCCAGCCATTCAACATTATTATTATTATTATTATGTATTGTTTGAATAAGAGGGGAGGAGAAAAGGAGGAGAGTGGTTGGCGAAGAAGAACGGAATTATCATTGGTCTTTGCTGGTGTACTTCTTCTTCTTCTTCTTCTTCTTCTTCTTCTTCTTCTTCTTCTTCTTCTTTCCTTCTCCCTCCTCTCAAGTTCATTTATTTGCGAGGCTACGCCCGCTTAGCCCCTACGGGGCCCTATCTGCAACGGGGAAATTCAGACAGTTGCATTGCGCCAGTTGGTTGAATGAATCCAGGCCCTGGGCCGCCTGTGCAAATGAATGAGAAGCAGGCCCTGGGCTGGATACGGGTACCAGGCCAAACACAGGCCGAAAGCAGTTGGGCGCATGCAACCACTTCAGGCCCAAGGCCTGCTCTCTTCGTGACTGGGCCTGTGCCTACCGGGGCCTACCGGAAGTTTCCTGGACTGGACGCAGGCCGGCCACTTCGATATAGGGAAGGGCCTGCCTCCTCATTCGGCATTCGGGTGCTGGCCGCATGCTGCGTGAGCGCTGCTGCGCAATCCGCTGGCTGGCTGGCACTCACGCTCTCACGGGCGAGTAGGAGGGAGCACGCAGCCATAGCCAAGCTGCGCTGCTGTATGCTAGGTGAAGCGCAGGGTGGTCCTTGGGGTGCTAGCGGCATCTGTGCGGTGTGGATCGGGGTTGTGAGTGTTACGAGAGACATACCTGGTCCTGATGCGTGGGACATTGGTCGCCATATGCTCGTACTTCGGGAACGCTGTTGATGTCATCATTCTGCTTCGTAGTATAGGCTAGATAGGATCTGCCACCTGTTGTCTGGGCGCCGAGCGCCAATAGGATATCAACTCTGGTTCGTAGTTGATGATGATGGGACTACTTCAGCATTGTCAATTTTGAACTCTTGGTGTGTTCTTATTCGGTGTATCTCGTGATGCCAGTCTGCTGTGGTTCGAGGTCAAGACTATCTGGGCTCATATGTATGATGCTGTTTGATTGCCAAAGTTCGCTAATGCTCATCTTCCTTGCATATTTCTTTTTGCAATTGGACGGCATTGTACTTTCTTCTTTCGTTTTCCCCCGTACCCCACCTTCGTCACTGAGGTGAGAGGATTACGTAACTCGGGGTGGTTCTACACGAACAATGAAACGAGGTGGTGATCAGGAAGACGCATGCCACAGTTGGCTTGGGTTCATTGGATGGTAAGAAGCAGTGGTGATGTCCTTCGGGATATCCCGTTAAAATTGGAACGATACAGAGAAGGGTAATTAGCATATTGGCCACTGCGCAATAAAGGATGACACACATAAATCAAGAAATGGTCCAAAATTTCTGGAAAGAAAAAAGAAAAAGAAAAAGCAGCGGAGAGACTGGCATTGTGAAACACAGCCCGACTCATAAACCACCAGTACATGGCCCCAGCCAAGTCGATAAATTCAATGCGATTGAGCCTCTCCTAAAAGTTCTGAGGCTCGGGACAGGGCGTCCGAAAGGCCAGTAGAAAAATAAATTGTCCCATGCCGTGGGGTGGCACTAGGCCCAGCCCTGAACAAAAAAAAGAATTCCGCCCGCCCGCCCCGAGTCCCCTAACTTCTCGGAGAGGCTCATCAACTTCTCCAGATGTTTAAAATGGTGGAGATGTGCCATGCTGCCCACTTGGTAGGGTGTGTGAGGACACACCATCGCAGCTGAGACAATGCAGCCCAACCCTGCCTCGTTCAGGCCAGAAGGGGGGTGAGCTGGAGGCCTGTACCCTGCAGGGTTGCTTTCAAGACAAGGCATGGGATTTATCATTCCATCAAAATGCCGTTGGCGGTGGTGATGGTAGGGACAGGGAAGCAAACACCCGTTCTCACCTCCCTCATGGGACCTAAAACCCCACGAGTCATCTGGGCCCCTCTCATCTCCTATGAAATAAGCGGATGCCCGCCGCGGCTACAACTGCGGCACGCACCTACTCCTCCTCCTCCTCAACCCCGTTCCCAGGCCACCTTGTCCTCCCTCGTCCTCCCCATTCCCTGCCACCTCCTCTCCATCCTGCTCCCGCAAACCCTTCGGCCACTTCCCCCTCCTCTGCTGCATTGTCCTCCTGCCCCTCCTCACCGGCCACGCCATTCTTCTCCATCCCCTCGCACTGTCCTCCTCCTCCTACCCCCTCCTGTTGAGCGGACAGAAAGCGAAAAAGAATACACTTTTTTTAGCAAAGAAAAAACACGTACTTAGGATCATCCCCACCCTTGGCAGGGCTATCTGA